GTAAAGAATCAATAACGGGCATGCTTTGTTTCGCTTTTTTCAGATCCGACGCCAAAGCCTGTTCTAAAACACCACTACTTGGCTTTACACTGGAGAGGGACGGTAAGATGACTGCATGACGCGCGTTGTAAAAAGTTGTAAAATTGAGTGATCATGGTTTGCCGCATTTTTTGTCAAACCGTGTTGAATAGATTTGAACTGAATGAAATTTTTATGTTCTGACGGCTTCATGTTTGTACGGTTGATGTTTTTATACCAATTTTCACAAAGGATAAGAGAGACGTATTTATCTAAGAATGGTATGCGGGACTCGAATCGTAATCAAAACTTTCTACTTTTCGTACTTTCAAAACAATTTTTGAACCAGAGATATTTGAAATTTGTGACTATTCAAAATGCAGGCGAATACAGGCTAACTTAAGATGTTGAAATTAAAAAGGGAAGGGCATTAGGAATCTGTAGAAGATATTGTAAGCTTTGTAAAGATAGAAGATGTTGAGGGATGAATTTCATTTCATGTTCTTGTGTAAAAGGCATTTATAGATTTGAGACAAACTTATATCCCCAAATAGGTTTCATAATTTCATTCTGTTTATGACCACTAACAATGATGATAATTCAGAACTCTGCTCAGTATATTTATCATACATTAATGCTCAGAACATCTTGTGAAAATGACTCGTATTGCCTGTTATGTACACATATTCTTCCTTATGTAATTTTTTTGTAATGTGGCGGTGGCCTAAAGCGGTAATAAATAATGATGATAGGGAACTGAATTTGACAGGAGTTAATCATGGATGATATAGTGCAGTGCCCGAAATAATGCACGAAGAAATTACAACCTTATTAATGCAACAAAATATCTGCCAGTTTATGAAGAATTACAAAAGCTGTTTGTAATTTTATAACACGCGATTATGATACGATTTTATTGCTTGAAGTTAACATATATGCTAACATTAGTCGTTCAGGGTTTTGAAATACATTGTAAAGTACGATTACGCACTATCAATTGGAGTGAGTGAGTGATATTCCCGCTATATGGCGCCGGTCTGTAAATAACCGAGTCTGGACCAGACATTCCAGTGATCAACAGCATAAGCATCGATCTACGCATTTGGGAACCGGATGACATGTGTCAACCAAGTCAGTGAGCCTGACCAACCGATCCCGTCAGTCGCCTCTTAGCAACAATCATGTGTAAACCCGGACATTTGTTATGAAGGTAGCTACGCCCCTCGCAGGTGCGAAAGTACAATAATCATTACGTCATACGTAAAGCCATTAACGTGTCTAATACGCACGTATAAGTACCTACCCACATGATATTCTTCTGAGTGTCCCAACTCACTCGCTCCACTCACCTCAACACTTTCTCTATATATTTGATGTGGGTGTCACCGTAGTATGTTTTTCTTTCTTTTTTTTCTGCAGGTCCGGACTTTTGGCCTCTGCATTATGGGAAATGCGGGGGGCAACGTCAGTCGCCTGTCAGCTTCGAAGAGGCATGATAGAGTACAACACGAATCTCCCAGAGTTTCACCTCTACAATTTTGACGTGTACAGTCAACTGACGGGGGAATACCATCTTGAACATAACGAACAATGGGCATGCTGGTACAAATCGTTTCTTTATTAAAAATAATGTTTATTCCTCTCGCTGTAAAATTACGTTATTTTTGCCTTTTAACTTATCCTAAAGTTACACGTACACATAAACTAGCCCAGTTTATGTGTGTTTGTCCTAACGTTTCTTAATGAAATGTTCACGTATGACCTTCTGCTTCGTTCTATTTCCGGTACAGCGAGTTTGTGCACTCAAGGGAGACTACTACGTTGATGGCGGCGGTCTGGCTAGCCACTACAGAACTGCTGAGTTCCACTTCCACTGGGGCGGTGACAGCTCACAGGGATCGGAGCACGCCATTAACGGGATGAAGTATCCTCTGGAAGTAGGTGCACCTGAAGTAGAATAGCGTGAAATATACATACATATAATACCCGTGAAGATCCAGGTTAGAATTAATCTTCAGTAACCCATGCTTGTCGTAAGAGGCGGCGAACGGGATCGGGTGGTCAGGCTCGCTGATTTGGTTGACACATGTCATCGTATCCCAATTGCGTAGATCGATGCTCATGCCGTTGATCACTGGATTGTCTAGTCCAGACTCGATTATTTACAGACTGCCGCCATAAGCTGGAATATTGCTGAGTACTGTGTAAAACTAAACTCGCTCGCTCACTCACTCACTCACTCACTCACACACACATATATATATATAGTTATATACAATTAATTTAACAAAGGGACCTTCGGGGATAAGTCAATATACAATCTCCTGTTTTTTTAGCGAGAAGAGAATGGAATTGGGGTGATTGTTTTATTTTAAATTTGGTTATGGGGCCAAGGGAGACCATGTACCTTTTTGTCTATATTTTGGTGGCATTTGTAAATGTAATGAAGATATTTGGAAAACAACACCATTGAATAACCATTTCTTGTGGTTCTTGATAATCTTCCTTCAAATATGGGTGTGTACTGTCATTTGCCCGGCAATTCAGTATACTCAAACATGTAAAAGTTACCCGCATACACAAACGCAACCACGCAACCACGTACGCATACACGCGCTTTATATGAATGTAAATATGAGTGAGTGAGTTTAGGCTTAAGCCGTTGTTTTTAGCAATATTCCAGCAATATACGGCGGGGGACTTTACAACTGGGATTTACACATTGTAACCATGTGGGGAATTGAACCCGGGTCCTCGGCGTGACGAGAAAACGCTTTACCCATTCGGCTAGCCCACCGCATCTTGTAGATATGTGATGTTGATGTTGATGTTGTTACAGATGCACGTCGTCAACTACGCTGAAAAGTACGGCAACCTGTCCGAGGCTATGAAACATCCAGACGGACTAGCAGTGCTTGGGGTTTTCTTCAAGGTAGTCCAAATCCACCGCAAAACTATAAGAATTATAATTATGGAATCCTGGAGGGACATTGTCGCATTGTCGCATGGTCGCGTTGTCGCCCTCTCAAATACAAGCAAAATCAGGCAAAACTAACCAAAACGCGACATCGCGACAATGCGACAAATGAGCGAAATGTCGCGTTGTCGCGATGTCGCGTGTCGCATTTTGGTTTATTTTGCCTCATTTTATTTGTTTTTGAGAGGGCGACAACGCGACAATGTCCCTTCTCGGATTCCATATATAATACCGTAAAAATCCATTCAGATGCTGCAAGGGTTTACATAACGACCTCAGACCTACGACTGTCTCAAGTATATTTTAAACGATAATTGGAATTACGACCAATTCGAGCTGTAATAACTTTGTGGAACTTGACCAAGTTCTGTTTGTTAGTTTGTGTGTTTGTTTGTTTAACGCCGCACTTAGCAATATCGCAGCTAAATAGCGGCGGTCTGTAAATAATCCAGTGGCCAACATTATTCTACTCAATTGAGATAAATAACATGTGTCAACCAAGTCAGCAAGCCTGACCACCCAAACCCGCTAATCGTCTCATGCCACAAGCATGGGTTACTGAAGTCCAATTCTAACCCGGATCTTCACGGATCCCAGTTCTGTTAAACAGATGGAATATATCCCCAAGAGTAAAGTTCCGAGTCTGAATACAGATGTATGTATATGATATAAAGTCGTCTTGCTTGTAGGTGTCGGAGCGGGATAATCCCAGTCTACAACCGATTATGTCTGCTCTGAGGAACATCATCCACTATGGTACGGTAACAGAGCTGTGTATTGGCAAATAAATTGTATTGCAATATATTGCGATTCTGGAATACGTATTGTGATATGTATTGCGACATATTGGGAACTTAAGTGTTTGACAGGGAGTGACTCCGTTTGTGCATGTCAATCTACAATATAAGTCCCTAAACATATATGTTATGGTTCTGATGACAGCAGCCTCAGAATTAGGTGGCATTGTCAGGGATTCTATGTTCTGTTTTATACAATTTATATTATTACATTATGCCGTATTATCATTGAATAACAAAGGAAAACACTTGTTGTGAATGAAGGTCTGTGTAGATTTTAGTTTAAACCGTAAACATAATCACAAAAACTTCAATGTACCGATTCTCAGAAAAAGTATCGCAATATGTATCGTATTGCGATACCGGTAACACCGTGCAGTCATAGCAAATAATGATTGAGTCAGTTGGGTTTTCCGCCGCTTTAAGCAATGTTCCAGCAATGTTCCAGCAATATCACGGCGGGGTACACCAGAAATGGGCTTCACACATTGTACCCATGTGGGGAATCGAACCCGAACGAACGCTTTAACCACTTGACTACCACGGCGTCCCTCATAGCGAATAGATACGTTATCATGACAACGGTTCTTCTTGTAATTCATCCAAAATGCAAAACGGTGTCCCATTTGGCTCAAGCGCTGCAATTTGCTGCAGCAGCATCCGATGACCATCGGTTCGAATCCCACATTGGTTTGTTCTCAAGTGTAACTGACACGCCTTGATATAACTGAAACAATGTTCAGCGTAGCGCTAGGGCTCGTTAATCATATTGTAGGTTTTGGAACCTACGTTTTACTGTCACTGTAATTAAGCTGGCGAGTGAGTGAGTTGAGTTTTACGCCGCTATTAGCAATATTAAGGCAATATCACGGCAGGGCATACTAGATTAAGCTGGTGACAGTAGATGGCGTAATGATATATAGTAAGGCGTAGAGGTTAGAGGTCTTTTACTGTTGTATTGACAGTTGTAGACGCAGTACACGTGGTCGTAGTCGTAGCAGTAGGTAGTGGCCGCAACTTTACCTAAATCAATCAGAAGTTGTGACAGAAGGCCTGTCACTTTCGTGAACTCGTTTCCACACCGGGACAAGCCGAATGATAGGTTACGGAAATCGACGATTGGTGACGAATGTTGCTGTTGCTATTGACTTCATAATCCGTATTAATGTTGTAAAATATACTTCTGGTTGATATTGTAGTTCTGTTAATGATGTGACTCTGTGGAATATATTCGATAGATGTTATCTAACTCAGCACAGATGCTTGATAGGCATTTAGTAGCTGGGAGTTAACATAACAACGTATGGTATGGATTTAACTTCTTTAATATTTACAGCAGGACGTTTCTTGGCTGCTTCTTCCCCTTCATCGGGTGAATGTGCAAGAAGTAGCCCAGAAACGTTGTTACGTAACTCAGCACAGCTCGTCCATTTCCGTAATTATTCGGCTTGTGCCAGAATGACACGAGTGATCGTGAGTGACTTACAAGCTAAATCTTTTCCTGAATCACTAAGGTGTTGATATATTTGCTCATTGTTTTAATTAGTTATTCTCTCCTTTCCGTAGTCATTTGTTTGTCTCGGAATGAAGAGAGATCCCGATTGACCAGTCATTTCACATACCGTGTTATTTTGTAGGTAGCTATGAGGTGGTCAACAACTGTTCAGTACGGGCCTTACTACCCAAAGACCTGGCGTCCTTCTACCGGTACGAGGGCAGCTTGACCACTCCACCCTGCCATGAGAGTGTGTTGTGGACAGTGTTCACCGAGGTTCAGGAGGTGTCCGAGAGACAGGTAGGAGACATGGCTATAGTGTCGTTACTGACCATTGTGACATAGACATCCCTTCCCAACATTTTCAACACTGCCAAACTCCACCCACCTCTGAAAGCACCATCCCCCAAACCGTGAAGATCCGGATTAGAATTGGTTCTCAGTATCCCATGCTTCTCGTAAGAGGTGACTAACAGGATCGGGTGGTCAGGCTCGCAGACTTGGTTGACACATGTCATTGTATCCCAATTGCGTAGAGCGATGTTCATGCTGTTGATCACTGGATTGTCTGGTCCTTACTCCATTTCAAGCGCGGCGTTAAACAAAAACAAAACAAAACCACTAGGATTAGCATTTTAGGTAAGTTAGTTGGTTGAGTTAGTATATACATGAGCAATACGCCGCTTTTAGGAATATGCCAGCACAATCGGGACGGGGGGAACCAGAATGGGATTCAAACATTGTAACCATCACTCGATTATTTACAGACTTTCACCATATAGCTGGTATATTGCTGAGTGCAGCGTTAAATAACAAACACACAAACATGGTCAGTAGGATTGAAGAAAGTAGCTGAACAAACAAATCAAACACCATCTCCCATATCTATCAGAAACAACACTATCCCTGTTATGTCATCTCTCCCCAGTCATCTGATCTTCCTTCACCGCTATCCCTTCCCTTCTATCAGAAACAACACTATCCCTGTTATGTCATCTCCCCCCAGTCATCTGATCGTCCTTCACCGCCATCCCTTTCCTTCTATCGGAAACAGCACAATCCCTGTTATGTCATCTCCCCCTAGTCATCTGATCGTCCTTCACCGCTATCCCTTCCCTTCTATCGGAAACAACACTATCCCTGTTATGTCATCTCTCCCCAGTCATCTGATCGTCCTTCACCGCTATCCCTTCCCTTCTCTCAGAAACAGCACAATCCCTGTTATGTCATCTCTCCCCAGTCATCTGATCTTTCTTCACCGCTATCCCTTCCCTTCTATCAGAAACAACACTATCCCTGTTATGTCATCTATCCCCAGTCATCTGATCGTCCTTCACCGCTATCCTTCCCTTCTATCAGAAACAACACTATCCCTGTTATGTCATCTCCCCAGTCATCTGATCGTCCTTCACACCGCTATCCTTCCTTCTATCGAACAGCACTATCCCTGTTATGTCATCTATCAGTCATCTGATCGTCCTTCACCGCTATCCTTCCCTTCTATCAGAAACAACACTATCCTGTTATGTCATCTCTCCCAGTCATCTGATCGTCCTTTACCGCTATCCTTCCCTTCTATCAGAACAACACTATCCCTGTTATGTCATCTCTCCCCAGTCATCTGATCGTCCTTCACCGCTATCCCTTCTTCCTTCTATCGGAAACAACACTATCCTGTTATGTCATCTATCCTCAGTCATCTGATCGTCCTTCACCGCTATCCCTCCTTCTATCGGAAACAACACTATCTGCCCAGCCAGCTGGGACACCATGATCACCCTCAAACCCACTATCGCAAGCTCCACTATCCATCAGTGATTACTACTCCATCTTGCCATATACGATGTACGCCATAGACACACGAACGAAATCACGTATGGACGCACGAACGCGTACGCACACAACTTATACAAAGTATACACATCCCAAAAGGAAACTATAGGGCCTAAGACTCGCGAGGCGCTACTTCCGGTACTAAGTTGGTTCGGCGCTCTTTGCGCGTCCTAACTGCGATATGCGAGACAGGGCCCAGCTGACATCATGTACCACATTTCCGGTGACAAGCGTTGTATATTCAAGAACCAGTTATGGTTCCAAATTGCGCGCTACCTCAAATATGAACTTTACTAGACCGGACCATAAAGTGTACAACCATGCGTGGCTGTCACAGCTGTTGGCAGTCGTAATGGCTGTCTAAATTGGGGATGATTAGATCGAATTTGTTATTCCTGCAAGGAATATCGGTTCCATACTGTCAACTGACAACCATGAGGAAGGTATGAAACGTTGTTTGTCACCGGAAGTAATAAGGTCTCGCGAAGTGCCGTAACCTACTTAAAGAGCCCTATAACCCTTTAGGCGCATCTCTATCGACTTGCGTCACTCACGTCATATCAAATAACGAGTTCTCGCGAAGAATGGGATTTTACCCGTGCATGTGGTCACGCAGTGATGTCACGTGACCTGAGATCATCAACCGCGAGTAGGGTGACCCTCAGAAAACCAGGGGTGATGTACGACGTCTGCCACATCAATGCCCTGCGTGACGTAATGGCTCTATGTCGTCCCGTGCCTACTCAATCGAGGACGTACGCCTACTAGATTCAGTGTCGGTGATGCAGTCTTACAATTGTCGTTTGTCAAGCGGGTGAAACTGGTGTAATGGCCGTACTTCTATAGTTAAGGGTTAAGTACAGTTGTCGGTGAGTGAGCAAGATTTAACGTCTCACTCAGCCATTTTCCAGCGGTATGAAGGGGGTCTGTAAATAATCGAGTCTGGACCAGACAATCCAGTTACTGACATCACAAACGTCTCTCTACCTAATTGGGTGACATGTGTCCAGCAAGTCAGCGAGTCTGACCACGTCGCCTCTTACGACAATCATTGGTTGCTGAAGATCAATTGGTGCGCCTAATGGCTGCAAGAGTTGTATGATCCTCAGGGAGTTGAGATTGAAAATACGATGTGTCGTTGAGACTGACATCAAATGATCGACATCCAAAGCGCCCTTGAGCAGCTGAGCGGGATATTGGAGCTATACAGATGTTATTAGATATACGGTGTTTTAAAAGGGTGTTCGGGACAGTAAGACCTTTGTAAATTCCGTATTTCCAGAGGCACAGCCATAATTTCTCTTTATTTCGTTTATCTTTAAAAACCAACATTCAATCTTCGACAGAATGAGACGCATACATTTGGCCATGCTTCTTCCTGAACAGTCATAAAGGGAGATAACTCGGGATGGCTTAGTTTGAATTTTTAGGTTTTGTTAAGCGACAGAAATGTTTTAGTTTTTTATAGTTTTACTGACACAAACAAATACGATATTATGGCAACAATTTTATTACTCTGTTTATACTCGTAATTGTATATGTCAACTCTAAAATTGCGAAGCGATCAGCTTTTTGGAAGCCACATTCCATCTTAGGTCAAGGTCATTTCTACAAACAGTGTAGTGTGTCACGTGACAGATTTGACAGCGTGTACGGTTCGTACACCCTGGCAAATCTACCTAATATAAAGTGGTTTCGTATGCTTTGGCTACCGACCAATCAGAATTCGACAAATTTATCTTAAATATTATGTTATGACAAATTGAAATATATAAACACTGCGTATTTCTGTTGCGGCTTAACGCCCTGCGGTCACTTTACGAACAGGACCACGAAAGCCACTCCCCTCATACCGGCCATGGCTTGCTGGCAATGAAAGCCCGAAAAGATGGCAAACAACTTCAGGCCTCTCCAAGCGCTCAACAGAAGGAGGATTTACAAGAGTTTCCCTGGCAGCCCTTCACATGAGAGTCAGTACTTCCCAGTACCATCCTCTACCCATTCGACAAGTCAAACAGGGACGGGTGTGGGAGGCCCCGGAGGATCCCAGTCAGCTCGCTCACATCGTATCGGGTAGCGCCATGCCGATCGGTACAGGGACGCTCTTGGCTGAAATCATTAGAATCGGGGGCACTGTTTTGGCAGAGATACAGAATGCTCAGAAACAACCAGTTGTCATCTCAGAAGCCAATTCCAAATATCCAAGCTCATCTCAAAACGTGGACGCTAAAGGAGCAGCTCGGCAAACCCAGCAGACTCTCAGCGAGAAGGGAACACGGATGTGAAACTTCCGTCGGCTGGAACTCTCGGGCTTATGGGTAATCCCCGGGTGAGATCACCACAACTAAGCCTGCCGCGCCTTTTTGTAACCCTCGTCAGTGGAAAAGTTCCTCCCTCCTCTACTCCCTGGGAGAGTATGCTTCAATCGGATCCGTCCCTAACCGACTGGGGATGGGACCGCGCATCCCACATCCGGCCCGTCGACAGAACGACCATTACGTCAGGAGCTCTCCAGAAACCTTCCTACAACCCTAACCGTTCTGGAGGCTCGAAGTATAACGGACCAGCCCGGGGGTGGTGTGGCTGTTCACTACAACAAGGCCCCGACCCGAAATCGCTGGACCCCAAGCAACCACGGATACGTGAGACCAATCCAGCCTCCTTCCAGCTCTCGGGTCGTCTACCAACGACCGCCGCCATCTTACCACTTCCGCTACCCAACGCCGTTGCAGCGACCTCCTCAAACGGTGTACCTCAACACTGCTCCCAAACCTGTGCGCGTCCAGAAACCCTACTTCTACAACTTCTATTTCAACCGGAACAGCCCTGCACCGTCACGGTACTCCATGTCCCCAGGGGGCTTTGGGGGATTAGACTTTGGGGCTCTGGGGGAGCTGAAGAAACGGCGCAGGCGCAGTCATCAAAACATATGGCCCGAATGCAAGCGCTAAACAGGAACAGTTAACTGACGGCAGTGCGGGTTCTATCAAAGTCCTGAGGTCAAGCACTTCGTGGCGCTCTCCGGAGTATTCGGTCTCATACTCATTCAGGAGTAACTATATCAGAAAAGTGAAAAGTGTTCCAGAATTTCGACCTATTGGTTGATGCTACTGCTAAGGAGTCCCATCTCTTGCTGGGAAGAAGCATCATTGGGCTTGCATCATGTTCTTTAAAGGCGTCCTCATCTTCTTAAGATTGACTGATCTCAATGAAACAATATAACCACGTTTCGTTTTATGGGATGCTCTTAGTCTCGACAATCAACTGCAGTTTGAATGTTACAATGGCTCAAAACCACGTCTGATAAATGGCTTCTGTTACAGCAATTCATCTGGGATTCTGTAATTTATTTACCTCTTTGTTATTTCCTCTCCATATGTTTCCTCAGCGTTTTATTCCTCATTTGTGTTTTTGTTACACTTTTGTGAATATTCTTCCACAACATTAGCATCACGTCTGTTCGTATTGACACTGTTTATCTCGTATATATATATTCTGCTGTTCATGCATCGCGTTTATGTAGTGTTTTGTTAAAATAAATAAATATATGTTAAAACAAACAAATGACTACAACAATGGATTATATCAGGGTAGTGTTGTCGATCAACACTGTTACCCAAACACTAATCACCCCACAGACAATAGAATATATATCTATCTTTCAACCAGTCTTGGGGCGGTGGGGTAGAATCTAGTGGTTAAAGCGTTGGCTCGTCCGCCGAAGACCGGGTTCGAATCCCCACATGGGCACAATGAGTGAAGCCCATTTCTGGTGTCCCCCGCCGTGATATTGCTGGAATATTGCTAAAAGCGGCGTAAAACCAAATTCAGTCAGTCAGTCAACCAGTCTTAATTTAGTACTCGGGGCGGTTGGGTAGCCTTGTGGTTAAAGCGTTCGTTCGTCACGCCTAGGACCGGGTTCGATTCCTTACATGGATACAAAATGTAAAACCCATTTCAGATGTCCCCATTGCTGGAATACTGCTAAAAGCGGCGTAAAACTAAACTCGCACTCTAATTCAGTACTCTATCCAGTATTATCCTTATACACATACGTTGACAAAACATAAACACAGAAACAATTTTCTTACCATATGCTTTGTTGTTGTTACTTATTCACTGGTTAAACGAGTATTTAAAAGAGACACTATACATGCTCGCTCAAAATAGAAAGCATGCAAGTTCTTGTCAAGGGACATCTGGAGTTTCTCCAGAAGGCGATTTTAGAACTATGTCGATCACCACACCCTTCTTAAGGCGGTCTCCTGATCTAGTGGATAGAGCGCCAGCCTGGAAAAGAACGAAAGGTTTGATTCCGGCCCAATGACGTCAATAGATGACTAGTTAATTGTTACTGGCGTTGGGATTACACAATGACCGATCGGCTCGAAGTCAAACTACTGTCTATGAGTGGGTTGTCCATGTTAAATTGCAGCATTAGTCCGAAATCTGACAGACACGCATATGCACACACGCATACACATTGTGCTACAATAAGTGTAATAATCTTGATTGAGACGTTAAACCAATTTTCACCTCACACAATCTAATACGGACATACAAAAGTCAAGTCGCTAAGACGTCTTCCTAGAAATGTCCCATCTAATTAAGATTCGCTTCCTTCTGACTCAGAGGATGGCTTTTGTCACTTGTAATGTGATGTTGATGTCTGTGTCACGTGACTCATGTTGTGCTCGTAACGTCAGTTGCGCATGTCAGTGCGCCATGTCTTCTCGTCTGGATGTACACATACGTCATTATGAGGTTATACACCAGGAAAACAACCTGCTCAAATGGACAACAGAGCATGTGAGTTGACTGGGCTGACAGTTGATGTTGTCGGCAGCGAGTGTGTAATGGAAATCCTGAGAATATGTCAATTCCGGAAGTGGAATCCGCAGGCCCTCTGTCTAAAGGTTAAAACGTTCGTATGTCACGTGACAGGACTCCCGTACGGGATATCTATGTCTTCATATATCATCACAACTGCCTTCTATACTGTCTGTAGTATATATACATATATACTCCACAAACTTGATTTGGAAGGGAGATTTCCATAGGGGCGAGAGGGTAGTCTAGTGGTTAAAGCGTCCGCTCATGACGCTGAAGATCCGGGTTCGATTCCCCACATGGTTACAATGTGTGAAGCCCACTTCTGATGTCCCTTGCCGTGATATTGCTGAAATACTGCTAATAGCGGCGTAAAACTAAACTCACTCACTTCAGTGAAGCGCCAGCGGAGTATACCTAGGGAACCAGGTTACCAAAGAGAAAGTACAATAATTCCATTTGTAGATATATATCTAACATACTATATTTACATTGAAAATCAAACATATGATACACTCTTCAAAAAGGAACGTGTAGGTGTTTTAAGCAGTTCATTTTAATATATTTTGATACCTAAGATCCCAAAATGTGTTTGTAAACGTTTGTCATAAAAAATGAAAACGATACATGAAATGTGCATGCAGAAAAAGGTTTCCATGTAATGCACGTGCAATATGTCGGACACATGAGTAGAGACATCGACTATAAAAGGCCAAACCAAACTCATCATTTCATTACGAAATTTACGATGTAAACGAAGATACAAAATGCCAAGATTGAATGCTACTGACTGAAATATAGCCATTGGACGTTTGGAAGCAAGGGAGTCCAAGTCTGCTCTTGCAAGAAACTTCAACGTCCACCACTGCACCATATCTCACCATGACAACGATATACCTTCTTCAATTGGACCCAAGATCGCCCAAGATCGCCCAAGAGTGACCACTCCTGCTCAGGGCTGATTCATCCTGGTGTTTCAACTGTTTGTTTTAACCATACTTTATTCATTCAAGAAAAGGATTGGGCACAAGTTATCCAACTTAGAAAAGCCCTCTCCAGATAATTACACAATTCCTCTTACAACAAAGTACACAAGTGACGGACAAAGGCTAGGATATGTACAACAGATGTTAACTGAGAAAGCGTTTTGTTTGAGAGATATAGACATGTACACTTTTGAAAACATTCTGGTTTTCAGTGATTGAGAGACCTGCATTGCCATGTAAGATAAGATTAATATCAATCAGTGTTTCAACTACGTCACCGATACGCTACAGCAACGGACACTGTAGGACAGGTGCCCGGTCTTCGAAGAACTTCGGGCCAAACCATCAGAAACCGTCTGAGAGAAGTGGGAATTCGAGCATATCGACCAGAAGTTGGACCTGTCCTGACACGACTGCACTGACGTGTCCAATGGTGCAACTGGGTACAGGCATGGAACCTGGGCAACGGATGGAACGCGTTTGCTTCAGCGACGACTCACGTTTCCTCCTGCAACGACGAGATGGGAAACAACGTGTTTATCGACGTCAACACGAACGTTGTGCACCGAGCTGCGTTCGACAGGTGGACAGTTTGGTGGAGCAAGCGTCATGGTGTGGGGAAACAAGTCCTACACGAGTAGATCAGTACTAGTGGAGGTTCGAGGCAGTCTTACAGCAAATCGCTACATCGACCAAATCCTGCGACCTCACCTACTCCCACGTTTTAACCGACAACGCTCGACTCCACACAGCTCTTGTAACACGTGCCTATCTCGCCAGTGCAAACGTCAATGTCCTTCCCAGGCCTTACAAATCGCCTGATCAGAACCCGATCGAGCATCTATGGGACGAACTTGATCTACGCGTCCGTAAACGTCACCATCGTCATCAGACACTTGCTGAACGAGCAGTGACGGCTGCCAGGGTTGGTGTCACCAGGTACTGACCTTGTGTCCACACAGTGCAGTGAGTGAATTGAATTGATGCTGACAATGACAATGATACATACATGTATGTTCATCCGTGTGTTGAATTTCCTTTTTCTATGTCGAAGTTTAACCACTTATGTATACTTAAATACGTGTAATACATTTCCTTATTTTGGGCCGAAGTGTTTCTTTTTTTGAAGAGTGCAAAATCAAGAGGTATGTTTAGGGTTTGTTTTTGTTGTGTGTGTGTTGTTTGTTGTTGTTTTTTTGCTTTATTTTGTTTTTGTTTTGTTTTTTGTTGTTTGGTTTTTTTTGCCTTTTGTTTTGTTTTGTTTCGTTTTTTATTTTGTTTTCTGTTTGTTTGTTTAGGAGAGTGGTGCACTTCAGTTTCTACATTCTGTAGAGTATACCGACCGCGTTGGCAAGGAAAGTGCTGTTTGGGGTCGTCTGAGGAGCATGCTGGGACATGGCGTTATGCATGACACCAGCTGCCGCCATGTCTAGCCCCCTCCCCGTAATGTCAGTGTATGGAAACTTCCTACAAGTGTTGTTAGCGCTGTCTTGTAGCTGGTATCATGTTTCCTGTCACAACGGACAGGGTGTCTGTGTACCTCACAGTTTTACGATAGGCGCACCTTTTTCAACTAATACCATACACAGCGCGGACGTCATTTTCCGTAACCCGCGGAGTGACCCGAGTGATTACGAAAGAGCAAGCTACTCATTTTAAGAAGAAATATCCAAAGGAGACATAAGGTAACAATGGGATTCCCTTTTCTACACTGCAGCGATGGAATAAAACAAGCGACATTCAAAACAGCGTATGAAAGAGCACGAAATGCTACCTTTAAATCAAAAAAACTTTAAAGCGAAACAAAACTCTGCAGGCATTGAAACATGGATCGGCTTTTTCTTCGCGGAAATTATAATTTGCTTATTTTGGTCTTATTATGGTCAGACTGGTTTGACTTGTGTTCGGCGAGAACCTATCAGAATGACCAAGCTCTCAGTTTATTTCTATACCTCTTTAAAGAGGTAACTTTGAGTTACAGTGACACTGTTTCATATTACTAGTACCCGTCTATACTAAAATATGTTGACCTCATCTCACAGCTATCTAAACAGCTAGCGACCGAAAACACACCGGCGTCGTACACAAAAATTGCTTCCTTTAAATATTCCAGTGCGCTGTGTCAGACGGAACCA